TAAAATGGTGAAGGGAACGCTTCTCCAGCCTGCTGAATGGCAGTGAGAGCATAACACCAGGAGATGGTGAAACCTGATTATCAAATCGACGACGATGGTTCCGAAGAAGCCATAGTTTTATATCAAATTGTCTTTATAAAAATTTAGTGTACCCCTAAAAAAAATCGAATCATATTTCCTTGCAAAAAATGTTGAAGTTAGGCTTTTTAAGACTCTAGACTGACCAGTTGTCAGCCAAGGCATATACATATTTAAATGAATCTCTTGAGTAAAAAACAAACAAACAGTATAGTGCTCAAAAAAAAAAAAAAAAGATTACGACATAAAGCAAATAAAATAATTTAATTAATTTCGCTGGAACACCGTTACTTCTCCATGTGTGAAAATATTACTGGAATTATTTTCAACAGTTAAGTAATAAAAAATGGACTTTTTGTTCATAATAACAATATTTTTCTAAATTTATAGTTTTATTACCGTTATATAGACCTTATAATTATATATTATTATTTGTGTAGGTGCAGATACGTACATATGTATATAATCGTTGGTGCCGCAAGCTGGTTCAAGTATCTGCGTTGCGTTCAGCTGTAGGAGCTGTAGCAATATATCACCGAAATGCAAATAAACAATCAACTGATTAAAGTTTGAATTTATACACAGCTATAGTCACATATATTTATATATACATGAATTTAAATGCAAATACACACATACAGATGTACTTTGTTGCGCTTTTTATTAAGGTGTTATTATATACATAGGTAGGTTAGGTACTCGTACCATCTTCTACAAGAGTGTACAGCTGCTGGCGTATGCGGATGATATTGATATCATCGGCCTTAACACCCGCGCCGTTAGTTCTGCTTCTCCAGACTGGACACGGAAGCAAAGCAGATGGGTCTGGCAGTGAACGAGAGCAAGACGAAATATCTCCTGTCATCAAACAAACAGTCGTCGCAGTCGCGACTAGGCTCTCACGTCACTGTTGACAGTCATAACTTCGAAGTCGTAAATAATTTCGTCTATCTTAGAACCAGCGTAAACGCCACCTACAATGTCAGCTTAGAAACCCAACGAARGATAACTCTTGCCAAAAGGTGCTTTTTCGGATTCCTCYCTCGATGAGCAAAAGTCAAACTCTATAAGTCACTCATTATTCCCGTTCTGCTWTATGGTACAGAGGATTGGACGATGACAACAACTGATGAGCCGACATTGCTAGTTTTCGAGAGAAAAGATCTGCGAAAGATTTATAGACCTTTGCGCGTTGGCGTTGGAACGATGAGCTGTATGAGATATATGACGACATAGACATAGTTCAGCGAATTAAAGGACAGCGGCTATGCTGGCTAGATCATGTTGTTCGTATGGACGAAAACACTCCAGCTCTGRAAGTATTCGACGCTGTACCCGCCGGGGGAAGCAGAGGAAGAGGAAGACCTCCACTCCGTTGGAAGGACCAAGTGGAATATCTAATTGGCGCCATGTAGCGAAAAGAAGAAACGACTGGCGGCCAATAAGAAGAAGAAGAAGTTATTATATATTCTGATTGTTATTGTTACCGTTGTTTGCCTAGTGTTTGAGATAATCAAAACGAGAATAATGCATATGGATATTGTAAAATATCGGTAAGTGAAAATGAAAAAATCAAATAAAGCGCAAACGCCAACACACGAACATATCGACACCAACATACAAACATACATATGTATGTAAGAGTAAAATAAATAACTGCTGCTAAGTAATATGAAGAACGGCAAATACGTAGACACACGTTTGATGATAATCAAACCAACCAGAAAAATAAAGCAAAACAACAAAACCTCAAAAAAAAAAAAAAAGTTTGAACAGCGAAAACGCTGCAAAACGCAAAGTGGGAAAATTCGAGTATCATAATTTGAACAAAAAAGCCACAGGCTTCTACACACACATACGCACGTACATATCCGTATATCCACTAAAAATATATAACAATAGGCAAAAGAAAGAAGGTTAAAAATCGCTAAGAGGAGGAGGCAACAAACAGTTGTGAGTGTACATTACTCTTTAGATTTTTTTTACTATTATTATTACTGTGAACACTTTGTATGCTTAGACTTTGCTCCTCCGAACACCTGGTACACCCCTCACATGCTCCACTGTTGCGTCTTCTCCTTTCTCTTCTGCCTATCAAAAAGCCAATACCAATCCAACCGGTCTCGATCAAGGCGACAAACAAAGCGGCTGAGACCATTTTTATACAACCATTGTGCGCTGACTTATCCGTACAGTGTAGCGATATTGCCGCGAATGCATGGAAAATTTTTGCCAAAAAGCTCATAATTATAATTATGAATATACGAATGAATTTGCAAATTTCGATAGCCCGATTTCGAAATTTTATCTTTAATATGTTTCATCAACACAGCGAGAGAGAAAATGAGGGAAAAAAGCTTACCGAAATACTACAACTGATTCTTTATGTCACAAGAGTACTGTTATCATTTAACCAACGTTCTTTCCTGCACAATTGTTACTGCCTTATTGTAATTGTTTATAAAAGAATAACTTAGTTTCTTGGAATGAGTGCTCTTGAAACACAACTCAACATTGTCACCACCGCCCAAAAAAGGTTGATTCACTTTGTAATCGACTGTAATCCACAAAGAACAAGTATAACAAAATCTAACGGATAAAAAAATCTTTTAATGTCACCACTAAAGGAAATTGTTCAAATTTAGTTTCTCATAATAGCACGACGTTCAACGAAATCGCTTTCAAAGGAGACGCAGAGTATTAGACGACTAATTCCTATTATAAACGAACAAATCAACTTTATTATATTCATATGAGTAATATGTGGTATAGATCACAATTAAAATATAAACAATAATTTTTCTACGAAATGGTCAATTAGTAGGTGGCAAAAACATGACAATTTTAAAGTGATTACGTTATTGAATCAGTCTGGTCTATGTATGTACCATATACCATATAAACGATAGACGCATTATCAATAATTAATTAGGCCATTACACTGTACGCGGCGGCGGTGGATGCACAACACCGGCACACGGTCTGCAGTTCACGGCAAAATTAACAACAACTTAAGCACCAGACGATAGCAGCAACAACACTTACTCATTTATAAAAGCGAAGTATACGTAAATAACGATGTGTGAGTATACTGGCGACACGACATGCGGTTGTGATGTTGGAGCGGGTGAGTGGGGTGTGGTGTGGTCTGTGACTGTGACGCACGCTGGAGTAAACGTACCTGAGAAAAAGGTGTGAGCGAATATAAAGTATGAAGTGTGAGGTGGGAAAGGTGCAAAGGTGCGAGGGAAGTGTGGTGGAGGAGTAGTGGTCGTGTTGAGTTGGAGCGTTTTTCATACAAACTACATACGCTTATACATTTGTACGTAGGCACAAACCCTAGACCCTACAGGAAAAAAATAGGTTGAAAAGATGTAATATTACTAATGCCAAAACATTTATTGATTTACTTAGATTACATAAGACTTCAAATGGTTGACAAAGTTCACAGCCATCGAACCCGGAAAACAACTATATTCTAAAGGTAACATAATGTATTGGTATGTAGGTAGGTTGGCTCAAAAGGCTGTTAAAAGGAGGTTTAAAAAACTCGTTACGCTGACTCATCGGATGTTGACATCGTCCATGCCTCTGCACCAGATTATATAAGATCCCCATCCTGATGAGTGATGAGTGACTTGTAGAATTTGGTCTTTGTTCGTCGAGAATGGACTTTACTTCTCAATGGCCTAAACTGCCTCCTTTAAAAAGTCGAGTAGTTTGGAATATGTATAGTACTACATGTGCTGAAAAGTCTTTAGAATAACAATTGTACTAAGGACGTCAAATAATCAAATAACGCTCATAGACCTTATCATTTAAAGAACTCAATTTCGGTCTCGCTGAAAAATTTCACGAATTTTCAAGATGTTTTCTGGCGCCACTGCCTCTTGTGGTCTTTCTGAGCGGGATGAAAAATGTGTGCGAGTGCGGTTATGATTGTTATATTCAGTACTTTTCCATTGAATATGCCACTTGTCAAGTCATTGCTTTACACCTAGTGCTTTTCACAGAAGGAAGAAATGTTTTATTAAAACAGAAAACTCACTTTTTAGCACTGAACAGGATATATTAAGTTTGTAGAGAGGTTTGTAACACCCGGAAGGAAACGTCGGATAGCTGAGTCGATTTAGCTATGTTCGTCCGTCTGTCTGTCTATATATACGGGAACTAGCCCCTCGATTTTTGTGATATAGTGTACACGTTCATTTGTTGGAACCGCTGATATCGAATCACTAAAGCATATTGCTGCCATATAAACTGACCGATCAATATTAAGTTTAGGTATAGGAAATTTTTTTATTTGATGATCTATATCCACGTAATTTTACACAAATTATTGCTTATGCCTGCGGTGCCATCTCTAAAGAAATTGTTTACAACTGACCACTTTAGCTGTCGTACAAACTGATCGATTAAAATCAAGGTCTTGAGTTTTTTTTTATTGGAGTATTATATCTTCGGTATAATCTTGTTACCAATAGAAACTAAAATAAGAGAGATAGTGTCATTTTAAGACCAATAACTCAGGAACGATTGGACGACATTTAACAGCAATCTAGTTAAGGTTAAACATTTAAGACTACGCCTAAATTTTTTTGTGGCGCCATCTTACGACCTTCATCTTACGGCACTTCAGCGTACATAATTTTAGTGAAAGCATACATACATATGTATGTTAACCGTTATCACATCATATGCAAATAAATTTCCTACTGAGTTAGTAAAGCAGTAAGAAGGCCCCGGAAAAGGAAAACAGTCATAACACAGCATGGCACAGTGCCTCTTGCATACATACAAACCCATAAATAAACGTGTAGCAAAATGTATCTGCATACATATACATACATATACATTTGTGTTTGCTCTAACTGGTATCGGCATATTCGACTTGATTTTTGAACTTCGCGGGGAGAAGCAACTCACTTTGACAAAACTTCAGCACAGCAGCGCACAACGGTGTGGCGCACAGAAGCGCAGCGTACAGTGCACTCGCAACCATCCGTCCGTACAGTTGGATGTCATCGCCAACGGCAACGGCAATCATTAGCAAGACGTAAACTCCAAAAACAAAGACGAAAAACGTAAGAATAATAACAAAAACAGAAGCAGAAACAGAAGTTGCGGTAGAAAAAGAAGCAGCAACAACAGAAGTCATCAGTGAGACGACGTGTGATCTTGATCTTGATCTTCTTTGAAACATTGAATTCAGCACAGTAAATAACAACACAAAAAGAGCAGCAACAACACAAGTTACAGTTGCAGCCGACATCGCTGTTGCTGTCGCTATTACTGTTGCCATTGTTATTGATATAGTGCCTCCGCTGTTGCAACTACAGTTTTTCTTGTGAACATCGCTCAGCCTCATTACGGATATATTTTCTCTTAACAATTACTTATGACTTGCTTATACATACGTGTGTGAGTGTCTACAAACTAAATTTTTAACGCACAATAATCGTAGCAATTGAAATTCGTGCTTAATTTTGATATAGAAGTTATTGTCAGTGGATTTGAGCGTTATTGCGCCAGTGAAAAGTTCTTATCTGCAGCGTTTATGTAAATGTTACGGCGCAAACTCAATTGCGACAAAGTGAAATGCACAAATAAACAATATAAACAATATAAACAAACTTAAGCTACGTAAAGCCTAATTAAATAATAAAACTGCCGTGAAACTAGCCAATAATAGAGAAGTAAAAATAAAATAAAAATAAAAAAAACRAAATTACTGACTTGACTAACTAAAGTTGAGTCATAAAAAATAGATTAAGAAAGCGAACCAACTTTTTAGTATTARAAAKACTTACATACAAACATACGTGTATACATAATAACACAATGACGGCGCATGAGCAACCGATTAGCTACTTGGACAGCATCCTGAACGAGGAGGAGTCACGCTGCGAATACAGTCATCAGTGGCGCAATTTCACAATCTCACGTTCGGGCCGTTTCAAGTCGAAGAATCGCAAGCGCGACGTTGTCGATGGCAAACTCTTCGATGCGGGTAATTCGCCCAATGCGATGTCGGCGTCGTCCAAGATGCCGTCTGCAGCCGCTGCGGGTCATAGTCGTGTCATGGCGTCCGCCACCATGAATCCACACTACAAGCAGGAGCCGGATAAGGTAGGACACCAAAACTATATATAAATGCTATGTTATTATATATTTGTAAAAAGTAAATATATATGGTATATACACATATGAATACTGACTAATGTATATATTTTAATACAATATATGTATACATTAACATATACTTTTTATTTACACTATGTATGTACATATGTATTGTCTAAGTACATGATTGTGTATATTTGTTTATGCAGATGTATTAGAGCAATATTTTTTCCAATATACTACAATACATACAAACAAACATATGTACATATATTGTACATACATATGGCGCTTTGTAGGCAATTGTAGATTTGTATGGCGACTTTGCTCAAATTCACGACATTTATTGTTTACATGTTGTTGCTGCTGCAGCGCTTGTAACTTGTACTATTGTTTTTGTTGCTATTGTTGAGCCCATGCAACAACATTTCAGTTGCTGCAACAATTGCGGCCACATCCGCCGCGAAGTCGGCAAAGTGTGTCGCAAGTCAGCTGTTGGTTGGGCTTTCTGGTTGGCTGACTAACTGCCTAACTGCTTAACCGTACATATGAATATGTTTGTATGCATGGACGTACGGTTGCTTTGTCAGTAGTTGGTCTTATTTTATAACTTAACATTT